ATAGATTTTATTGCAAAGAGAATAGATCAGATGAAAAATACTCAAATAATTAGGATAAAATTTATAGATTTTGTTGAAAAGAGAATACATGAATACATCATATGGAAGATACTCAAACAATTAGAAATAAATGAAGACCAAAAAAACTATAACAAAAACTATTAAAAAATATCTCCAAATAACGAATTAGATATGAGTATTGTTCTTTCATAAAATATTATGTATAATTTGATCAATGTAATCAATCTCATTGTGTGTAATAATTAATTATTTAAGAAATTATTCTCTACAAAAATTGAATTTCAGGAAAAAATACACTCACCTCTCTTTAAGCATGTTAAAATAACATTAATACTCCTCTAATTTTTAAATATGTATTGACCTCCCTTGAAGCCTATTAAAATGACACTGACATCTCCTATTTTTTTAGTGTCAGTTAAAAATCATAGGTATATATGATATTAACCTACGGTTTTTGGTCTATCACTATAATTTTCTGTTGATATATGTATGTTTAGGAAAAGTTCGTGCATGATTTAAAACTAAAAGGGTTGTCAGTGTCTTTTTAACCAACCTTAGAGAAGATAATGTAATTTTTCCTAAATTTTATAGACAAATTATGTCTCTAGTGTCCTAGCAATGATGTAGGACCAATAATAATCCATAGAAAAATACTTTTAGTAAGAAAATATGTAAACAAGAAAGACAATAATTAAATCTTAATAATTCATTACTACCACAACTTCATAATTCCTATTAAAAAAAAATTAAAATAAATTTAAAATTATCTTCTAGATAGCATTACTTATAATCAATATTACGCACTGTTTCTTTTTTAAAAATAATAATCGCACAAAATAATTGTTTATATAATATTTAATGTAGTTTTAATTTTCTTATGCATAATCAAATATGCGTCATGCAATTGGATGTACATGCACTTTTTTTTATTAATTGAGTTAAAGTTAGAGTTTGAACAACAATAAATTTTTAAATTTTGATTTTGACTTATAATTTATGATTGACTTTTTATTTATTTGGTTTAACCTTTTTAAAAACATATTGTAACCTTAAAGCATATTTAAATAGTTAATTTTATCTATTTTAAAATAAATTACAGTCTTTGCAAAGTGAACATCATGAATAAAAAAACAATAAATTTGACATAGTACTATAATGTAACTTTATTCATTATCAAGAAATGAATTACCTTGTTTGCAAAGAAAACACGATCACGTGTATAACGATGAGCAGGGTAAACCCAAGAGTTGCAAACAAAAGTTACAGGACCATGTCCTGGAATGTCTTCAAAGGTAACTGTCTTTAGGTAAAATTGGCTATGGTGATTATTTCTGATTTTGAAAGCACCAGGAACTCCCATTTTCTCATGATCCCAATCAAATGTTACCGAAAATTCTGCGTCTGATGCTCTTGTCAATGATGTAATGCTTGAAATCCACCTCTCCAAATATGCTACTTTTCCATGTTTTCCTTGCAATCCCTTTGCTAATATAACATTCCACCCAAAAATATTGATTATTAGTGCTCCAAAAACACAATACGAATACGAATACTGACATCTTTTTTCAGAGGTGGTGTCGGTGATATAGAGTTACTTAATAAGTATATACATTAAGCATATAAATATATAATATTTTGTGGTGAAATGAAGTTAGGAGAGTGAGAAAACCTGGATCAGGAGTAGTAGCACTAATGAGCTGAATTGAGACACCTTTGCCTAAAAACTCATGAATACGATCAAGAACATTGGATTTGATATCATGAAAATCCAACAAGCTCTTCTTCAATAAAACCACTTTTCCTTTAACCATTTTTTTGTGATCCATCTCCATTATTCTTCTTGCTATACAAACAAACACTACTTTCAATACAAGTGCATTAGTACAAATAGCAAGTGAGATAAAATACAAAAGTAGAATATTAAAAACTTGTACAGATACTTAGTGTTGTAGGAAAAAAAACAAGGTACATATATTCTATTATAGCAGGAACAATTTGAGGAGGGAAAGGAACAAAGACAAACCTTGTGTAAGTAGTTGCTTTTGCTTATACTACATGCTAAAGAAGTTTTGTTATATAAGATTTTTCATATTCTTTTTTAAATTTTAATACAATAAAGTTTTGTTATATAAGACAAATGGCTTGATTTGATTGGCTGTTAGGTTTGAAAAAAAAGGACTAAAGTTAGAGTTGAAAGGTGGGACCCACACGGGTTAGCACTTTAGCCATGCACAATCAAAGAATATGAAAAACAAGTTATATTAGCAAAATTGAGTGTTTGAACCGTATGCCTCTAAATTGGAGAAAAAAGAAACCTAAATACCCTATTTGAAATTTATTTTTCAAAAGTGTTTTCTTTTATTATTTAATAATGAATGGGCAAAGCATAACTTTATTCTTTGAACAAAGTATTTTATTATTATTGTTATTTATTATTTTTTGAAAAGCATTTTTATTTAATGAATTAATTTAATGTTTTTAAGTATTTATTAATAAAATAATTATTTTAATAATAAAAATTACTTTAAAATTTTAAATTATTTTTATCAATCATTCTTTTCCTTTTAAAATAAATAATATTTTAAAAGTTTGAAAAAATAGATTTAAATGTTGCTTTAGTTCTCTTATTTTGATGTTTTTAATTTTTTGATTTCCTATTTTAAAATTTAGCTTTTTAATCTTTCTACTTTATTTTCATTGAGATTTTTTTGGTTTCTCTTCACTTGTACACATGTGTAAGTGATAATTAAAATAAAAAATCTATTTTTAACGAGGTGACAATGATTAATAGGATAAAAAATATAAAAAATATAAAAAATATTATTAATTAATTTTTTATATTATTTAATAATTAATTTAATAATAATAATAATAAAACATTATAATATTATAAATTAATTTATATTTATAATTTTTGAATTTTTGGATTTTTAATTTTGATCTTTTGCTTTTAAATTTGGTTAAGATCCAAATTTTTCTACGAATCAAGTTATATATTCTAATCAATACAAATATCAGGATCTTTTGCTTTTAACTTTATTCTCGATACCGATTTAGCTAGTAGTAGGAAACAGAGAGAGAAAATGGGATAGAGAACTCGTTTATTTTACTTTTTCTAAAAACTTTTCTTTTTATCTTCTAGATCTAATTTCAAGATCCTATTTGTTTCACACAATAAAAAAACATGGTAGACATGGAGAGAAGAGAAAGGAGAGAGAGGGAGACAGAGGGAGAAAGAGGAGAGAGAAGAGAGAGAAAGGAGGGTGGAGAGGATGGCGGAGGGTGGCAAAGAGTTTCTAACAAGAAGAGACATTTTCAATCTAGGGACATAGCAGGCACTATAACGTTAATCCACACGACTTGGATTCTTTCTTTTTCACTTCTTTCCCTGATCATTTTTGTGCCAGAGATTTGTTTGACTTGTTTTCAAATTATGGTAAGGTGAAGAAGGTGGTTATTTCGTCAAGAAGGGACAAGTTTGGTAGGAGGTTTAGTTTTGCATGTTTCCTATGTGTGAAGAATGTTAAGGAGCTTGCAACCAAACCCGACAACATTTTCATTGGTGACAAAAAAATCTTTTTATACATCCCTAGATTCCCTTGTTCTCGTGGTGGCTCCAAAGGAGGTAGTGGCGAAGCTCAGAAGGCGTTTCAGAGCACGTTGATATTTCAGAAGGGTGGTAGAACGACTATTGGGGGAGTTGCGTGGAACGTAGAAACTTTGGTGGTCCCAAAGATTATACTCAAGTTGTAGGCGTTAATAAACCTAAGTGTGTGTCTATAAGTCATGTGCTGGAGTTTTCAGTGGAGGGAGAAGAAATATGGTCAAGATTTTCTTAAGCTTATATAGGGGTGGTGGTGAATGTTGGTTCCTCTTATAATATGAAGGGAACATTACACAAGGAATTCTTCTTTCATATCAAGATCACCCCTTTAGGAGCCAATCTATGCTTATTGGAAAATAGGGAACAAGGAGCAGTGGAAGAGTTGTTAAGCAGTGAAGCAGAGTGATTGAAACTGTGGTTTTCAGATGTAAAAAAATGGAGTCCTGAAATGGTGGATGAAGAAAGAGTCACTTGGTTGTGTGTGTTCGGAATACCATGCTATGCTTGGAATATTAACTTTTTCGAATTTATATGCAACCTGGTGGGGAAGCTTCTTTGCTCCGATAAAGCGACTCGGGTTGGTTTAAAGATGGATGTTGCTAGATTGTTGGTGAGAACAAGGTGTGCAAATTCCATTAATGAACTGTTCAATGACAATATCAATGGTGTCAACTTTAGATTTAAGCTTTTGGAGGATTCTTATGGGCATGTTCGTATTTTGTTTCCGCCGGCGGGGTTGGAGTTGAAGACTGGTTCAATGGAGTCTAGTTCGGATGAAGGGGATATTGAGGTTGAAGATGATAAAATGGAGGGGATTTTAAAAAAAATAAGTTTCTAGTAGTGGGAACAACTCAAGTGATGCATAATTATGGGGATGTGTATGATAACGTTTTGTTGGGAATAAGGAAATTGATCCCTATGCAAGTAGAGTCAGAACAACGTGTATTATAGACTTCAGATTTTATCACTAATAGGGAAGTGACTGTTGTTAAAGTGTTTTCCACCCAGTCATCATCTCATATTCTGATGGAACCTTTAGTGGGTGAAAGAAGGCTACAAGCACGTGATCCATGGGAGTTGGAAGAGGGGGTGATTGGTTCCAAGGTTAAAGTGGGGTCTGTAAGTGATTCGTTATGTTACCCAGTGGGACACTTGGCTGGTAATGCTTTTCACATTATGCATTCAGTGGGGCCATTATTCCCAAGTTCAATGTAGCTAGCAGATAGGTAGCAGGCAAGGCCCGTGTGACTAAAGTGAGTACTATGGATGCTTTAATAAAAAGGCAGGTTTTAGGGGTGGTAAACATTGGTGGGTTGGGTCTCAGCCTTCAAAGGCTCTCTCTTCTAATCATTCAAGTTTGCATAATTAGAAAATTATGGGGAAGCTGACAAAGAAACGTTCCAGTACCGTTTCAGTGGAAGTTTGTGAGAATAATGTAGGAAAACTCATTCAAAAATCTTATTTTTATTCTCTTTATCCTTCAAACAAAATTGGGCATAGTCACAATAATTCTAAGAATAGGCAATCTGAGGTGGTGTTGAGGTCTTTATCTTCGTCAAATTCATTTTCACACAATGTTTCGGATGGCTCGGTGTTGGGTTGCGATATTAATGGTGCTAGGAAAGATTATGTGGTTTATGTTGCTTTTAAGCTATGGGAGAAGGCAATGGTGTTTGGGGTGGATGGGGGGAGAAGATGTTGATTTTCACATTGAAGCTATTAGAAGTTTATAATTGATTGATCAAATTTCAAAGAGCAAGAAGGAGGCCAATAAATCAAGTTTGTCAAGAATCTTTTGTCCTACAGTATTAGAGGGTGTGGTAGCTTTTTGAAAAGAAAGAGTTTTGTCCATTTAATTAAGAAGGAATATTTTGACGTGTGTTTAATCCAAGAAACCAAGGCTAAGGTGTTTGACGAGAATCTAGTGGTGGCTTTATGGGGGATAAGGAAGTGGAATGCTCTTTCAAGTAGATCGGGAGGCTTACTCATTATGTGGAAAAAAGGATTATTCGATCTTATTTTTAGCTTTGTTGGAATCAAAGTAATTTGGAAAGGGAAAGTTATCTATATATTTAATATTTATTCTTCTTGCTCTATGATCTTGAAGAGGAAGTTGTGGCAGAAGTTAAGTGATTGTAAAAGAAAGTTGGTATATTGGTGGAGATTTCAATGCTATTAAGAATAAAGGGGAGAGGAAGGGGTCGAGTTCTTTTGTGAATTTTGTGGAAATGGATGAATTTAATGATTTTATGGAGTGTTAGATTTGATTCATGTTCCTTTGATGGGGAGAAAATTCACTTGGTTCCTTATTAGCGGCAAGGCAATGGGTAGGTTAGATATATTTTTACTATCTAACGAGTTGGTGGAAGAGTGGATGGTGGATGGCCAAATGGTAGGGAGTAGGAATTTTTCTGATCATTGTCCCATTTGGATCAAAGGGAATTCGAGAAATTGGGGTCCCAAGCCTTTCAAATTCTTTAATTGTTAGATTCATCATCTGGAGTTCATCCAATTTATTGAGAAGGTGTGGAGTTCTTTTGTGGTTTTAGGGAATGCGATTTTTTCACTCAAAGAAAAACTTAAACTTCTTAAAGAAGAGTTGAGAGTTTGGAATAAAAAGGTGTTTTGTTTTTTAGATTTGGGGGTGGAGGAGGCGATAAACGAGTTAAATTCTTTGGACTTTGAGGTTGCTAATGATGGTTCATGGGGTGAAGGGAACTCTAATTCTAAATTATTTCACCAAGCTATGAAATAGAGGTTTGGAAGGAATAGCATCTTCAGTATGAATTCAGATAATGGTTAGGTGGATGAGGTGTTTAAGGTGAAAAGGAAGGTCAAGAGGCACTTTGAAGAGAGATTTCAGGAGTCTTTGGTTAGAAGGACTTTTTTGTCTAGCATTCCTTTCTAGGTGTTGGATAAGAAGGATATGTTCAATCTTGAGGTCCCGCTTCTTGTGCAAGACATTAATAAGGTTGTATGGGAGGGAGTGGGAGATAAAATTCCAGGGCTGGATGATTTCAACTTGAGTTTTTTTAAAGTCTATTGGGACATTATAAAGGGTGGTCTGGTGAGAGCGGTGGATGAGTTCCATCGATCTTCTAGAGTTCCTAAAGTGATTAATGTCTCTTTTACTGCTTTGATTCCTAAAGTTCACAATCTTCTTGCTCTTGATGAGTTTAGGCCTATTTGCTTAGTGGGAAGTGTGTATAAGATTTTTGCTAAGCTTCTAGCAGATAGGTTGAAATTAGTGGTTCACAAGCTTATTTCTAAGTGTCAAATTACTTTTGTTGTGAATAGGAAATTGTTTTATGGTGTTTTGGTCTTGAATGAGGTGGTGGACAACACTAATAGAGCGAAAAGGAAGTGTATGTTGGTGAAAGTGGACTTTGAACAAGCTTATAATTATGTCTCTTGGGATTTCCTTAGGAGTATGCTGAGGAGGATGGGTTTTGGTGATATGTGGTGTGGGTGGATGGAAACGCTGGGGTTCACTTGTTCCATGTTTGTTCTTGTGAATGGAATCCCAATGGCGTATTTCAATGTTTCTGAAGGTTTACGTCAAGGAGATCCTCTTTCTCTCTTCCTTTTTCTCTTGGTGGCAGAGGTTTTTCTGGTTTAATGCTCTAGGCGGTGTCTATAGGGGAGTTTGGGGATTTTTTATTCAATGATTCTACTCATGTTGATTTGTTACAATTTGTTGATGACACTATTTTGATTGGAGAAGGCTATTGGAAGAACTTATGGTTCATTAGGGATTTGTTTAGGGGCTTTGAGTTGGTGTCGGATCTGCGAGTGAATTTATCCAATAGTAAAGTTTTTGGTATTAATCTTGATGTTGATTTATTGCAGGCAGTAGCTTCGTTCTTGTCTTGTAGTTTTGGTTCGATTCCTTTTGTCTTTTTGGGCATTCCTATTGGTATTAATCCTCAGAGACTAAATTCATGGGCGCCTATTGTTTCCAAAATCAAAAGAAGTTTGGCGGTATGGCATAACAAATTTTTGTCTATTTGGGTAGGGTGGTTCTTCTAAATTATGTCTTATCCAACATTCCCATATTTTTATTTTCTTTTTATAAGGCTCCTAAGGTGGTTCTAAAAGAGATTATCAAGCTCCAAAGAACTTTCCTTTGGGGTGGTCGTGAAGATTCTAAAAAGGTGAGTTGGGTTAGTTGGGACACTATTTGTTTATCCAAGGATGATTGAGGTTTAGGGGTGAAACATTATGGATTGTTTAAATCTTTCTTTGATAAGCAAGTGCAAGTGACGAATTTCAAATGATGATTCTCTTTTGTGGTCCAATATTATTTCTTATAGGTATGGTAATGCAAAGTGGGCAGTTGTGATATGGTGGGTAAATTATAGAAAGGGAAGGTATTAGCACCCTTTCTATCTGTGGTTATCCACGGGCTCTTAGATACTTGCTCAATTGTTTTCAAAATTGTTTTCTTTGTGCTTGTGGGTTTGAAAAAGTTTTTGTTTTAAAACTTCGATTTAACTCTTGCTTCTGTCCTCAAGGGTGTAATGAAGTGTTGTTGAAAACTTTGTTTGAAAAGGAGTGTAAGTGCGAAAAGTTTTGTTTTTGAAAGAGCAAGTATCTAAGAACCATCTACCTACTCGAAAAAGGAATCGTTCTATGCTAATTTCCTTTAGACAATGTTATTCCACTATTAATGAGTAGGTAGCATCGTCGTTGGAGTTTAATGGTCAATTTGAATGAGGGACTTACGATCACCAAAGCAATGTTAGGATGCTTTAGCGGTAACCCTAATGTCTTAGATCATTTGTTTGAGGCAACAATATCCGAGGCAACCATTTTGAGGTGACTATGATCTTTTAGACAAGAGGGTGACCTCTAAAACGACCTATACTCAATGACCGTGTACGAAGGAAACCAAGTGGGGTGTACCCTAAGAGTGCGCATGTGCGAGTGTATCGTTTTCAATTTATTTTTATCTTTGCACATGTTAAGGGTGATCTAATTTGATTTTAAGATTTAAACATTCAGTCTTGTCATGCAAACCCTATTATTAAACATCTAACAGTTATAATTTGCGGAATTTAAATTACAAGGCGTCGGGTATTTACATCGCCAAAGACAACCCTTTGAAAAATAAAATAAAGCAGTAAAAATAAAATAAATAAAGGTCCTAATTAATTATTACAATCCGTAAGCAGATACATAATTGGATAAAAATAAATAAAGCGTGCGGGAAATTAGATTGAGTGCGAAATTTAGGGTTTTGACCCTTTCGAAAGAAAATGTTTTTTTTTTGTTTTTATTTTAAGAAAAGAAATTAATCCTAAATTAAATAACTAAATTAAATTAATAAATTAATTAATGAAAAATAAATTATGACATATTTTTGTTTTTTTTTAAATTATTTTAAGAAAGAAATTAAAATTAAATTAAATGAATTAAAACCTAATTAAGTCTAATTAATTTTATTTATTTACAAAAATAAGTTAAAATTTCCTAATTAATATCCTAATTAATTAATAAGTGTTTATTAATAAAAAATAAAAATTCTGAATTAAAAAAAAAAAGTATTTTTTGTGATTTTATTTGATAAAAAAGAATTTTGTGATTGGTTAGAAAATTAGTTAAATAAAATAAAACAAATAAATTAAATAAACAAAACAAAATAAAGAAAGTAGAAGAATTGGGCCTGCTTTTGAAGGGTGTGAGTAGTAAATCTGTAGGCCCAATAATGCTGGCTCGTTTGACTTTTTTGGGATTCAGTGTGAGTACATTGACTTGCACTTTGGTGGACCTCCCACGCGGATCATGAGATCTGGCTCTTGACCATCTGGTGCTTGGATGGATGAGGGAGTATGGTATGGACCAAGCCTGAGCGCGTATGTGATTATCTGAAAAACAATGAGAAAACACAAATTGCTGGAGGCAGGGCTCGAACCCCTGACCTCCAGCCTTGGAACGCCTTAAGACCTTGAATGGCTACCACTGCATCACGTTGCTTTGTTTGTTATAATAATAATAACTCAATATAATATATAGAAAACAATTCTAATTCCAGACAAAATAAAAAAAAAAGCGCGTAATATTTGAATGATCCAATGGACGGAGGATACCTCATCGTCCCTATCCTCTTAAACACTGTAAATTGACCTGCGGATTTGTATCCGCAGCTAAAAGCGCAAACCTGTTCTAAAATCCCCTTCAAGCCATGAAAACGATTTCTAAAGACATGGTCGTATTCGTCTCATCCTCCGGATACAACCATGTACATCACGTGTCTTAATTTTACCTGAAACAAAAACCCCTAAAAACATAAACAAAACCCTAGCCATGGCGTTTCACGATACAAAGTACATAAATCAAATTGGTTATTGCCAATAGTTTGCAAATGATGTGAGGGTCAAGAATATGCAGTTATTTCATTCAATGGATGCAAGAATAGAGATTTGCGATTTCAAGAAGGAAGCAGATCCGTGATGTACTTACAATGCTTTAGGACGCTTGAAAACGTGTGGTTAGGATTGCAATGGCTTCTGGAGATGGCCAGCGATTGATTGAGACAACTCTCGCGTCCTGAAACTGCCTCTAACCTGGATTTTGATCTCCAACTTTTTTGTGATTTTTTGCAAAGTGGTTCTGCCTCTACAAGTAATTGCCAACCCTGATTTTCGTGTGCTTAGCTTCCTTATGTATTGTGCATTGCATTAGGTTAAAGAACTTGGTCCA